CGAGTGTGGTGCATTAGGAACGAAATGGTCGCGTCGCGGTGAGAGGGGCGTCGCGCGCGAAGGAATGTAGCAGGATGGAGCAGTAGGTAAGAATTACAAGAACAAAAGTACTAACAGTAGAATTATGCATAAAATAATGAACGCATATCGATTGAGCTGTATGAAGAACGCTAGAGCTGTAATGACGGCGAATGAGTGGCCCGCGACAGCCGCGTGCGGCGAATCGATTACCAAAAATCGTTCCTAATGCCCGTCTCCCGCGGGTACCGATCGATACCGCAAACCGAGGATGGCTGCTAGCACACGCTTGGAGAGGGCGGCCGTCGCATAGCCCCTCGCACGCCGCTCCCTAAATGTACGTCCGTTTCCACTTGCGTGCCGGCACGCACGTCGAAGTATGAAAGCAGCCATTCATAGTCCGCCAGCTGGCGCGCGAGCGAAAGAGCGAACGAATTATTTTGTATGTAAGAAATCTGTTGCATTTTATTTCACGGTCAGATTCTTTACGGTTGGGTTCTGACCGTGAAATAAAATGTAACAGAGATGGTTTCTTACATACGAACTAGTTCGTTTTACGTCAGCCGGCCGGCGGAATATGAAAGCAGCCCTTGAGGGTTTCTTTGGGTTACTGTATAACAGATTCACGTGCTTTAATAATCTGTCTAGTACCATACTATAGCCATTTTAGCATGATGGGGAAAAAGCGGAAGCTTTACAGATGGAAAGAAAAAACCCTCGCCTGGTTGTAGGGCAGTCCTGGTGGAGAAGCTGGCAAACGTCGCTCAAGCTTCTATTAATGAATTTTTTTCGAAGTTCATCTACTTTCGAGTCTATAGAAGCAGCAAATCGTCTACTTCCAGTCTTAAAGAGGTGAAGGACTCTACCAGGGCACCATCAAACCAAGAAAAGTGCTTTGGATAGTCGTCTGGCTCGATGTCTAGAAATGCCTACGGGCAAAGAAGGCGGATTGAGGCAGTACGGGTGCACGGCATACGTATATCGAGGGTTGCCTACTGCTCACTGTAACATCATTTCTGAAAACCTTCTTGGACCTACAGCACATAGGAACAGACAGGCAGAATTGAAGAAATCGGTATAGGATGCAGAGAGAAGGGTCCTAAAGGGGTCCTAGCAGAATATGGATGACTCCAAAGACATACAAAGGGCATCTTCCCGGTAAATAACATGATGGTCGCCGGGACTTTTTTGTCCTTCTTTCTGAGGGGCTCAGAAACAAGAAACATTCAAAGTGGAACATATATGTAGTGGAGTAACGGATACCCATTAAGCCTAGAGGCTTGAAAGAGCTAGTGGTTGAGGGACTCTGAAGAGGTAGCAATGAACGTTGGAAGTGATGAATTTGGGTAGTAAGTTGATCCCGTTAGTGGTTGGCAACGACGTCGTTTCCATGCCCTCCGATGGTCGAGTTGCTGCGGAAACCCCAACGAACTGCATAATATATACGACCAGAGACACAAAGACAGACCGACATACATACACAATATACACTGAAGGCCAGAGGAGATTGATGATGAAAGTGAAGGCGAAAAAAAGGAGATGGAAAACGGGGAAACAGTAAAAATGGGAAAGACAGCATCCTGAAGTGAACTACAGAATGACTCTAAACTATCGTAGCCCATAATCCACAAAAACAACTTGTCACTCGAAAACTGAGTAGTCAGATCGAGTCCAGGCTCAATAGCAGAACAGCGAGCGCTTAACACCTGAAAACATCCAATTCATGATGGAAATCTGGATAATTTTTCAAATCTTACCATCTTAGAAAGCCGAATAGGGCATCGGCAAGCATCTTGGCTACCACACAGCTCCATTGCCTCAAGATCGGTCCTCGCCTTGTTCAACCGAACCTTCCACCGCTACGTGTTAGTTAACTGGTGACATATTTGTCTGGAAATTTGAAACACTAGCTTGCATGTCCTCTGCATGTGAATGAGCCACATCTGCAATTTGAGCGGAATACGAATGCACAGCTCATCCCTAGATGGATTGATTATCATCAAAAGTTATTTCCCTACACATTGGACTCCTTTGTTCCAATTGAAGAAAATCATGCCGCCTGACTAAAAAACCTACTGTGATTTGGTTAGTATGAGTGGGTGATGTGACAGAAGAGTAAAGTAAAGCACCGCCATCGCTACGCGATATTACTGAGCTAAACCCTTCCCATTAGCCTTCCCACAGCCCTTCGGTAGGTCTGAGTTACGCTGAATTAGGGCACTACCACAATGGCCCTCTTATATGCTAGTTCTTCCCAATCTTCTTGAACGTCGTTTAGAAAAAATGCTTACCTCCTAGATCCGTTATGTTGCCCCTGACTGAAATACCTTTTCTCTTTTTTAAATTTTGTGATTCTACAATCGAATAGCATCCTACTCACTATAAAGCGCTTCGTCTGTCGTTCTATCTATCGTTCTATCTGTCGTTCTTTCTGTCCGTCGTCTGTCTGTAGGCCTGCCACAAAATGCCTTAACTCCTTCAGATCTGCCTGGAAAGACCGGGTCAAGCGTGGGATGGGTGGGCAATGTCCCGAGAAGTATAAAGCACACATCAGCTTGGCGGAGCCCCGCCCACAGTGGGCGTGGCGTACATCGAAATGAGCTGCGCTGAGGACCATGATTTCAAATTCAGTCACAAGACGGCTTCAAAACGGGGGTTCAAAGGGGCTAGAGGTGTGTAGTGGTAAGTTAGATCGAAATGGGGAGACCCACCCCCGATGGACGGGGCATTCTCCAAAAGTGCAATAATATGAATATGAAAAAATTTCGGAAATCACAGGTCCTGTCCCCGTGGACCTAGAAAGTCAAACTTGGTAGGAGTCCAGGCGACAGGAAGGGAACATTTATGGCGGGTGGCAAGACCAGACTCCGCCGACAGGAGGCGGGGTTTGAGCGGAAACACATAAATCCGATAAAGGCCTATAATGAAAATCAGCTCATTTAGCTCCGTCCCTCATGGCTAGAGCCCCTAGCGCACGCAATAGCGTGCGTGGCCGCCTGGTTAGCAATAACGACCTAATAGTAGAATCGTAACAAATATGTGTTGATGACACAATTCGACAAATTTCAGTGAAACTTGAAAATTGAATCCGAGCAAGAATTTATTCATAAACAAAATAGATCTGAACAATTCTATTGAGTAATAAGTGACCCTGGCAATCATGAGGCTATAACGAGGTAATGTCTCTTAATGACAATTTTTGCACTTTTATATGAAATTCTTATCAACTAACACCATCCACAACCTCAAAACATCGAGAAGCGTAAACCACACAATGGAAGGGCCAAGCTTGTGTTGCTGATAGGTCGCAATGGGATTAATAAAAAACATTTTCAGAAGGCATCATTCCACTCCCATTCGAAATCTTTGTGGCGCACTGAATGCGTATAAGGCCTAATGCAATAAACTGCAGGAGCCAGCCGATGTACAATTCGGTGCTTCCACTCTCCCAGACGAATCTGGCACCAATTAGCCGATCTCGGATGGACATAAGGTTTAGGTGGTTGGCTGGAATATAATCCAGATAAAGTGAGGATGAGGGAGAGGGGAGGGGAGACGGATATTTGCAGCAACTCCAAGCTCGATCTCGATTGAGATGTGGATGGTACGACACTGATTCATGCTACACCGTATCCTAGTCGACTTGGGCCGAGTCTGCACAAAATATCACTCCTATAAGGCACTCTAGAAATCGGATTCTACCTACTTTTTTACAGATTTAAACAAAAGATATTCACACAACAATTGCCTAACTACAGTAACAGTGCTATGAGTATAATGGCATCCGCAAAGTATCCTGATAGCCATGCGGTGCTATGATGAGAAGCAATTGATGAAGCATGATCGCTGACAGGCCCCAAATACGAAATTCACTTGGTAGGAACTCGTCCGTGTTATGCGATATTACCTGTAATATGTACGAGCAGCTTGGATATGAGCCAAGACGGGATTATAGATATGGAAGAGTGGGCCGCGGTAAGAAAAACCTCCAGTTTTGGAGTAAGCTTTACACTTCAACCACCTTATATATTGAATAGTGTTGTAATCGTTAGCTAACCCGCTAATAGCTTTTGAGCGTTTTCAGAGTCGCGACGCACATGTGCGTGTTACAAGTGCGGGTCAGGACGTGCCACCGAGATCACATCGTCGAAGCTAGGTCGCGGCGTATATGACGGGCCCTTCACCCTACTCAAGACCATTTTATAGACAGAAAACTTACCATGAACAACTTCTGAGTAGAAAAACATGTCTAAAAAATGCAGTTTTCGAGGCAAAAATCAAAAATGGTTGAGAGAAATTCGAAAATGAACTAACCGTGAATTTTTTGCTGAAGAACACTGGTAATGTGTACTCGAATCTTTTTGACTTGAATCGTGTATATCCCGTTGATTGGCATAATTCTTCGAGTGGAACGGAGAACAGCGTTTGAACATGAAACCAACTTCTATACTCGGTATTTCAAGAGAATCTGCCTATTCAATTCCCGAAAACCACTAATATCTAGGAAATTCTTCGTTTGGAATGCGCCACGCATTCGTCTTCCAATCACAATTGCAGAAATGGCTGGATAGAGATACAAGCTTCTAAGTTTACGGGAAGCTTACAGGAATACGGATTCTGTAGTCTGTAAATCATTGTGAACGAAGGGAGTGATCTATACGTTCAAGTAGGACTCGAAAAAATCTGATCTCTTGACTTCTCGTTCCATGAGTGCGCACTTTGCCTTGTACGTACTCTGCGTTCCTCCGTAATTAAAAGATCTTTCGATACTTCGCATCTAGTTGGAAGCGAGAGATGTCGGCTAGTGATGTGGTTCCACTTGCTTACCTCGCAACCTCCCTTTTACTAATGCATTTTAGTTTCTGATACACCTTACGGTTGTTTCCAGGGTGCATGCATTTGAACTTCGACAAGTGCACGGCCGATTCGGATCTGAACAGTGGGCGAAAGCTCCGCCTCCAGATGGACGTGTCGAACCTTCTGCTGTTAAAATTCAGTATTCGTTTTTCTAAGACTATCTGCGTCACTTCTAACTCACTTTTCGCCAAAGGCCAACTATTCCACCCGAATACCCCCTTAACCACAATAACCATTGCCTGTAAGCAAAATCAAACCATCGGGCCTACTTCAGCCTCTTGAGGTTTTTTATACTTCACCACAAAATAATCCGGGGGTCGGTTCTTCACTCTTAAATAGTTTCAGGGTTGGCTTCTATCAATTCCAGCCCAAGTTTCATTTCAATCATAGTGGAACCAAGAAAAAGTTACCTCTCCCTTATTCACGCAATCAGTTCGCAAAGCTTCGTAACCGATGCATCCAACTATTGGCACTACCGTGTCAGTCATCGTTCGTGTGAACACCGGCTTCAGACGACCCCATACTTCCACTGAGTCCGGCTCAACACCAATTTCTTCGTGGGTCTCTCGAAGAGCCGCCTTAACGAAGAACCAGTTTTCTGCGCTGTGATTGGGATAGCATCTATGCATGAAAATGGGAGCTAACTTTTATAGCCAATCAACATTTTATATGACACCTCATGAGAATTCATCTTCTCAAATTTAAAGTCATAAAGAATGTAATAATTAGCAAAGTACTGAAATATATCAAAACTTATGAGAGTACGCTCATGAGAGGAGCGAATTGAAATGCTCTCACTCGTTCTATCAATTAGCTCGCAAAATACGATCTCACCTTTTCTAAGTTCCGAATAACTTTATGGGAGTGGCCGAATAATGTTTAAGGCACGTAGAAAAGAAAATGAAGGGTGTGGTGCAGTAGGAACGAAGTTGTCGCGTCGCGGTGAGAGGGACGTCGCGCGCGAGGGAATGTGGCAGGATGCAGCAGTAGGTAAAAAACTAGAACAGAACTACTAATAGTAGAATCATGCATAAAACAATGATCGCATATCGATTGAGGAACGCTGTAATAACGATGAATGAGCGATCCGCGGCAGCCGCGTGCGGCGAATCGATTACACAAAATCGTTACTAACGCCCGTCCCCCAAAAATTAGGCTTGAAATCCGGTCAAATTAGACCATAGCGGTGGCTATTGTTGGAGAAACACAACAACGCTAAATGCTAGTTATGATAAATGGTCATCGAGGTACCATCACGTAGGCGGAAAACTACTCAATGCAGGAAGCCTAATCTTACTCTCAAACCAGCAGCACCCCTAATTCACCGTATTATAAGACCAATAAAAGTTTAAATTTACACA